AACAATATTTCCCATGTTATTTTCCCATAGGAAAAATCATTGCTTTCAGCTAAGTTTGGTCACCCATAATGGGTATCTTTAAAACCCCTGAAGGAATCACTTATTCCTTTAAAGTGGTTAACTATGTGTCAAAATGCAACATAATGATGCAAGAAAAATTGAAAAAGCAGGGATGGAAGGGGTCGAAAATTAGGAAAACATTTCAGAAAAAACATGTGGGTGGGTTGTTTGCATCTACCCTGTCTCAAAGTTGAAATTATTTTATCATCTCTAGAAGTAATTTTCCTGGAGGTAATGCATTGGCCTAACATATGCAATTGTTTAAATCCTAAGAAAATGGCCAAAATCCAAAATATGACTGTCCAAAATCGGTTGCGCTAATTTCCCTCCTCCTTGGTCCCATTGATTAGTATACCGTTGCAATGCAAGTTTTATGTATTATTGCATTAACAAGCTATTTTTGGCACTATTTTCACTGTTTGCGATGCAGATGTATATTAGATCTGGACATTGTGCTGGTATGAGTTACAGCATAACTTGGCAAAATGTTCATAAAACTTGCTGTTTAAAACAGCTAATATTGGGCTACCGCTGGCTTTACCCATCGTGCATCCTGAAGGTTTAACCGCCACTTAAAAATAACGTGGATTAAGTGCGTGGATATCATTACAGCGACAAAATGACCGACGAAGTAAGTTTAAGGAATATCTCTTGCGCAATCATAACAAATATCATGAATATCTACATCACCACATGGTAGGAATTTTCCTCTAAGTTTTGGTACCAAATATGTACAAGTTTGATCATGTTGCTTCTTGATATTTCAGGACAAACCAAAGGATGCTCAGTACCTCAACTTGAGAGTTGTTGAACAGGTAATAATTTTATAAGGTCGTGTATTGTATAAAAGAAGGCGAATACCATAGAAAACAGATAATTCACTATCTGATCTGTAATATTGGATTATGTCTTGGCAGTCACGTTATTTGTCAGTTGTAGTTTACTCTGTCAAAATTGAAAAAAAACAAAGTAATTTAAAACAGTTTGCCGACATTATCAGAACCAAATGTATTTCCTTATTACCACACACTTCAGTTGTAGGTAGAAAAATAAGAACACATTCATCGCCCAATATATTATAACGGAAACGCAGATGTTTTTTGTTTGGCTTAATGTATAATAATATATGCCTTATTGGTATAAAAGTAGATTTGGGAAACCCTGGGTTTTCATTCCTGGCTTAATTTTGCTCCTTATATTGTATATTGTAACCATATTTTGTAGGACCAAGGCGAGGTACATTTTAAAGTAAAAAAGACAACACAGATGGGTAAACTAAAACAAGCATATGCTGACCGAAAGGTTGGTGAAAACTAAGGCAAAATCAGTATGATTTTTGAGAAAACTTCTTGTGTAATACATATAGGGAGAATAGAGATTTCGCTTATAAGTGAAAGCACAACTTACATGTTACTAATATTTGAAATTATTCGAACTTATGATCGGACAAACGTATGACACGTACTTCAAGGGAATAAAGCAACATCATACGTTTGTCCGATTATAAGCTCGAATAATAGTTGTTTCAAATATTAATTGTATGACATATACAAGACCAATGTTAATGCTACTAGAGGTAATTGGACCAATAGGCCTTACTTTTTATACATGTTTTTCTATTTTGAAGAATTCGATTTGTGATGTATATTTCTTAGTTTTCCAAAGAAGTCTACAAATTTTCCGTTGCTGTTTAATCTTTACATCGTAATTTCAATCACCACCATCGCTTTTCAAACGAGTTACCCTGAAATATCAAAACGTCATACTATTTTCATACTTGTAGAACTTAATGTGGCTGTCATTCACCATTTATTAAGTAGTAAAAAATAATTTGTTACATCGGTGACAAAATGTTTCTAGTTTCCTGCCGAATCTCCAGTCTCGCATCATGCAAATGTAATTTTAGGCGATCTGTCTGCATGTGGTGTTCACACTTGGTAGTCGTTTCGCGACAACAGCTTTAACAGATCTACCTTTGTTTTTTCCAGGGCGTTCCAAAAAACACTTTACGATTTTTATTTGATGGAAGTAGAATAAATGACGAAGATTCACCAAAACAGGTAAAAAACGTCATTATTGTTTAAATTATACTGATTCCATTCCTTATTAATTATATATAGGCCTATTCCATACTTGTCAACCTATAAAAAAATGGTAACTTTGAAAATAAAAATATTGATGATTTACAGTATGTTTTTCAAAAATCGTTGTTCTTCGTTGCGATTTTTTTTAATGAACTGCCTACCTTCTCTGTAACATTACAATAACAGCTATGGTAAACTTAATATGTGGCTTGAAAGTGGGGTATATCATTTTGAATTAAGACCGTACATTTTCCAGAAATTGAGTAAAAATAAAACTGTAACTCTTATAACCTTTGTCAATGACATGTCAGTATTCCTATTTTTGAAGAACTTATGGGATTGTATTTAAAGATTTGCTAGCTAAAGGGTTCTAACAACTGACCTATGATTGCAAAGTTTTATTTTTGCTCGTCGAACTCAAGTAAAATATTTTTTCCTTTATAATTTAGGCGTTGAGAAAGATTTTGTCCCCTTATACTTATACTCCTACCTCTTCTAAAATAGCTTTTATAAAAGCATTTGGAAATAGAGATCAATTCTGTTTTAAGTTATTATATTAAGTTGGGATAGAGTCTTGAAGCGCCATTGGTTAAACGATTAGCTGAAGTTGAAAAAATTGAGTGTTTCATCAAACTGAAAGTCCTGTAATATTACGGTGTAACAAACACTCCGAATAAATTTTGGTGTTGTATTCTTCAGCTTGAAATGGAAGATAAAGATATTATAGAAGTATACCAGGAACAGACGGGTGGCTTATAACATCAGAAAGAATAGAAAGGTACTGGTTGTTGAATTGTAATTTTAGAATTAATGACTCCTCCGTCACAATTGCTCTACGGCGGCCTCAGATTCAGAAAATCGATTTAAAAAATCGACATAGCCTAATACTGTCAGGCCCTGCTTTCCCTATATTGTATGCTTCTAATTTCTCTCGATTGTGTGAAGCTACGGTCGCCGTAGACCAAATGTGACAGAGGTATTACTAGAATTTAACATATGTAATATAATGCTAAAACTGGCAAAAATATTCTAGCTTTCATCATTTTGCTCAAATGATTTTATATTTCTCTGGTTTCAGCTCAAACTAGATCATTGACATTGAACGAATTATATATCCTGAACAAAATTGGAGGATTTTAAGAACTGATTTTAGACTCTCCACAAGGCATGTGTTCTCAACTTGAAATACACATCACACATTGGATATTTCTTAATAAACTAGTGGGGAAATGTATGGAGAGGAGGGGTGTACAGATTGTTGAAGTAGAGAAGATTGAAACAGATTAATTTAGAGCACAATTCTGGATGCGGAGAACTCTGAACTCAATTTAAAAACATGTGTCCTATATTTATTCCTATTTATACTGTATTTATTAATATGATGAACGACCCACCCATGACTTAAGCCTCAGTCGCATTTGCTCTACGGTGGCCGTAGCGGCACAAAATCAATATAGAAAATCTTCATCGTACTGCTTATCCCAATACTTTATGCTGAGAAATCAACGGCCGCCTTACGGTTGCCGTAGATCAAATGTCACTGAGGCAGTGGTTGCCAAATGAATAGATGGACGGTATGGTGAAATTTGGTAGGTACTGTATCTTATGATTGTTTCTTTTCTTTCCCATACACTTCTCAGGCGTGAGATTTATTTAAAAAAGGCGCAACGTCACGAGCGCGCAAAAGTCAATATTTTATAAATCAAGAAACGGGGGTCTACACTGTCTGTTTTAATTACTTGTGGCGTTATTATCACAAAATTAATGTAATTGCTGGCACCATTGTTTCTATTATGCTCTAGTTCTGTGGCTCGAACTGTGAGCATTTGCTCATCAATTTCTAAAACCTTTCTCAAAAACTAGGTACAAGGAATGATGAATAAAGATAAAAAAATATTTCTGATTGGCTTTTGTGTTCAATGTATTTCATAGACTATAGATTTCTAACTAGAGTAGACAAGGCATTAACATGCAAAATGTCACCACCTGCCATTTGTTACAGACAGCATGGGCAAGCCCATGCAGACAGTGACTGCCTATCAAGAACGCCAAACACCGTCTATAAAAAGGACTATAACAATATAAAAAGTGGTGGTGACATAAGTTAACCGCTTGCAAATGATTCAAGGAGCAGTCGTATTGACTAAGATATTTTGAATCTTGATTCATAGATGAGGGAGAGTTCAGCCATCGTCATGTATGATATATATAAGGAATAAAGGCCACAAACAACTCAGACCTAGTCTTGCACCAAGACCTACGGTCCCCCGTATATAATTCTTTCCAAACAGTGGTTATGTGAATGCCACTGGGATGCCATTTATGCCTCAGTCAGTCACATATGATCTACGGCAACTGTACGACGGACATAGCTTCCAAAATTCGAGAGAAATATGCAATATAAAATATATGGATAAGCTGTATGATGTAGATTTTCAATCGATTTTGTGAAGCTACGGTCACCGTGCGCCCGCTGTAGAGCAAATGTGACCGAGGTTTTACTATTTTTATTGGGATGGTAGACTTTATATAATACTGATTTTTTAATGGTAGTACATGTTTATCCCCAAATAACTTAAATATGGTGTTAATGTTACACATTTGTTTCATTTTATTCAATACAATACAAGCACTACAATTCGATTCATAATTTTGAGAACTTTGAATCTAAAAAATAAGCATAAAGACCTGCATTTTGATAAAATAACATGGCTGAAACTCCCTAAATTACAAAAGGGCACAGCTAAGTTGCACATTATACATAACTATCTGAATCATACAAAAATTAGGTCTTGTACATATATTTCTATTTTGTCATATACTATTGCAGTGCAGTCCTTTGATTGCCTATTTTTTAGATTCAAAGTTCTCAATGGAATTATGAATTGAACTTAAGTAAGCTACATACTGTATGTTATAAGACTGAAATGACAGTTTACCTACCTACCTCCATAATATACTCATTACATCACATTTCTTGCAAAGAAGAATGGTCATTTATTATAAACCATGGCATATTTTGCTCCATCAAGGAAACCCGACTGGCCAGGTTCATGATGCCCTAAACTGTTGGTGGAAGAAAAGTTTTTGAACAGGAATAGGGGCACGTACATGTAATTGCTAAACTTTGAATTTGTGAACCTCTTTCTGTTCAACCTTTAACATCACCAATCTGGTGCCACAAACAGAATCAAAATGTGGTAGGTTTATTGGAAAGATCTGTTCTAAAAACAATACATTTATTCCATATTCTTCAATTCTTGAGGATTATTTAGCTTTTTTATACTAGTTTAAATAGTTTCTAACAGTCTAATCACTATAGATACAAGAATTACCATTATAATCATACACAGACATGATATTTTTTAATAAATGCTACGGCCTAGAGCCCTAAAACAATCATATGGCAAAGGCAGTTAAGATTAATGGCCCACCCTGAATGAATACAGTGGCACTTAATACAGTGACACAAAATGTGTTCTGTTGTCGTTGTCATTATCATATGGCTAAGCCCAGTGTATTCTGTTTTGAAATGACCAATTAGGCTAAAAATATAAACAATTGCAAACTCCATATTCATGCAGGTAAAAATGTAAAAATTCAAAAATTAATTATATATCATTAAATTAAATGCCATCATTAGATGGACACATAATACGTATTCCCTGATAAATATTTTATTAATATAGCAGTGTTAAATGCTCAATAAATAACAATTTAAATGCTGATTAAGTCTTTTGATTTCCAAATACACAATTTCAATCATTACTGCAATCACCATTGCACATATAGTAAGTATATTTATTCTTGCATTGTTTGACTATTTTATTTTTTCTCAAATAATTTCAAAATCTTGTCGTGTTTATGTGGTTTGGTTGCCATTGTAACCACTGTTTCACCAACACAATTTTTCAAGTCAGTCTTAGCACCTAGTTCAAGTAACCTCTTAATCATTGGTATTGCCTTGTCATCTGCTTCAGCAATTTGTGCCTCGGTGAATGTTTCACCCGAATATCGACACAAAATCCCAGAAATAAGTTCATGGAGTGGTGTAGATTGGTCAGCCTGGGTTTGTGCATTCACGTCAAAACTAAACTTTGAGAACAGTTCAAACATATCTAAGGTTGGTTTGCTACGGAACACTTCATGAAGAATGTTGTGTCCACTTTCGAACTTGCATTTGGTTGGGTCTGCCTTATTATCCAATAAATATTTTGTCATTTCAACATTATGGGATTCCAAAGCAACCTAAAAAGAAATAAGTTCATCATTATGCTTAATCATTTATGCATACGCAACTATACCAACAAACTTATGTTGTATTATGAGTACAAGTCTCTAATAATCACTTGTTCCACACAATGCTGCCATTGTATCTTTGACGAAAATATGAATGTCAATGTTGAAAATTATACAGTTGAGTTTTACGCATGCATGTTATTTTCTCATATGTTCCCTGGTCTTGCAACAACCCCGTATTCCCTCCCACTTCCATTCCCTACAGTTAAGAAAATAGATAGGGTGATTATAGACATGACGCAAGACAAAGACCCTTGAAGATGACAATTTTTATCTACCAGTATTGCACTTGTCTTGTGATAAGGATGTTCTGTGTTTACATCCACATTACGGTTCAGTAGCCATTCAACCATTGGAATGTGACCTCCTGTGATGGCCTTGAACAGTGTAGGAGTACCCTCATTGTCTGTTGCGTTCACTTGGCCCTCACAACCATTCTTGGCAAGATACTCAGCCAATGGAATATTACCAGAGCTGGCTGCTAGGTGCATAAGAGGTTGCCCACTGAACATTCCCTGAAAAATAATGTTATTCTTATTTGTAATTAAGTTGTAGGTACTAGCAGGCTTTGATTTGAGTTTCCTTGTGTTTTTCCAAGAGGCAGACACATTGAAATTCAAGTGGGATGAGGAGAACTATCATGATTTAAACAAAGTTTGTCTGGCAAATTGCAGTTTTTGATTTAAGGATCATCCCTGATAATTGTTGAGAGGGAGGACTGATAGAACTGAATCAATATTTTAGCATATTTTATGTCCCAAAATTCATTGTTTTGTTGTTCCTTTTATTGCCTGTTTCACTCATGGCTCCATTAATGTTTATGAAGAGATACAGTAGTTTAAAAATTAACTTCTGAATCATATTTTTACCTTTACATCCAATCCAGCTTTTACCATAGTTTCAACAAGCTTTACAACTGCTTCCTGTGCTTGCTGATCTGTGTATGCGTACATTGACTGCTTCACAGTGAACGCAATCTCTAATGGAGTCATACCTTCAATATTTCTTGCATTTAAGTTTGCACCTCTTTTAATTAACTTTTCAACAGTCTCTAAGTCCATTTTTGATACAGCGTGATGTAGTGCAGTGAATAGTTTACGGTTTGTGGCATTAACATCAGCTTTATGTTCAAGTAGGAAGTCAACTATATCCGCTTTCTTGTTGTTAATTGCAGCTTGAAGAACTGAAGCTCCTCGCTTGTTAAGTGCATTAATATTAACTCCATCCTTGGTGATAGCACTTTTTATGGTATCTGTGTTGAACAACGATGCCACCATCTTATCAACAGATTCAAAGTATGTTTTAGCATTGTCCAAAATGTCAACAATCTTTGAGAACTTATTTTCAGTAGCGATATCCCGAACAGACTTTCCATCAGCACCTCTTGGATTTAGAATAAGGATGTAGTTGTCTCGCAATTTTTCAAAAAATTTAACATTGTTTTTCCTGGCCATCTTCAAGAGGAAATTGTCAAGTATGCTGACAAAGGATTCCTCACCTGGCATAGCAAAGCCCTGTTCATCTTGGAACACAGCGCTTTCGTATGGTAGCTTTCCTTGTCTATTTTCCACCCATATAGCATGTACACCTTCATCAAGGAAATACCTGAGAAGTTCCTCTCCCCCTGGATATGGTGAATCAATGGCAAGATTAACGGCATTACCCCCAGTGAAACCCTGATGTATATCGGCACCCTTTGACACTGCAAACTTAACCATATCCAACTCTGGATTTGAGAACACCAAAGGAACCCCATTTCCATTTTTAGAGTTAATGTCTGCACCTTTGGATAACAGGAGCTCAACAATCTCTTTATAACCTCCCTGGTAAGCCACATACAGTGGGGTCACTCCTTCATGCATCCCTATAGCATCTATCTCAGCACCATGAGTAAGCAAGTCAGTTATAACAGGCTCCATGTCAAATCCATACTTCGCAGCATGATGTAAAGCAGTTGTTCCCTAAAACACAATTTAGAATTTCATTCAATTTGAGAGAAGTCATTTATGTGTGATTCGGTGAATGATGTGGTTATAACCTGTACATATTTTTAATCACAGAATAATGCATTTAATTTCACATTCATTTGTTTTTATCATCATGGATATTTTCAAAGTAAATATTGTACTTCAAAATGTTGTTCAAAATACAAGCTGGTATAATTTAGCACCCCAATCTAAATATCTATAACATCCACATTTGCTTGGCATTTTCAGAAACTATAACTCTCCAATCCACCTATACTAGGCATTCTACATGTTCTAGGCATATTACAAAGTCTGTCCTTAATTAGCATAAATATATGAGAACACCTACGGATGAGTCTCTCTTGTTTGGATCTGCCCCTTTGCTGAGCAAGTACTTGAGGATATTGGGATGTCCACATATAACTGCCTGGTGGATGGGTGATATCCAGTTACCCTCAAGGAAATAATCAGAATCTACATTGATGTTCTCCTTCTCTATTAAAGTCTGAAAGTACACAGAACATGTATTACATTCACATATGAACTTGAACGATCATCCATGGGAAAGCTAAACTTAAACAAGAACTCGCCCACAAACACTCTTAGCTTAACTCACTCACAAACACTCTTAGCTTGAACAAGAATTCACCCAAAAACACTCTTAGATTGAACAAGAATTCACCCATAAATACTCTTAGCTTAAACAAGAATTCACTTACACTCTTAGCTTAAACAAGAATTCACCTACAAACACTCTTAGCTTAAACAAGAATTCACCCACAAACACTCTTAGCTTGAACAAGAATTCACCCACAAACACTCTTAGCTTGAACAAGAATTCACCCACAAACACTCTTAGCTTGAACAAGAATTCACCCACAAACACTCTTAGCTTAGACAGGAATTCACCCACACTCTAAAGCTATATTATACCTTTAATTTCTCCAAGTCTCCCTTCTGTACAGCTTTCAGGATAGGTGGTGCTTTATCAGAAAGCCCAAGACCCCACGTCATACCGCATCCTCCAGGACCACAACCACCAGCAGTGGGAAATTCCTCCAGGACAATATCGCCAGCGGGAAATTCCTCCAGGACAATATCGTCAGCCATTTTGGTTGATGACTATTTATCCTAATTATTTGATCTGAAAATAAATTTTCAGTCTTATTACCATATAAAGCTATATTTCAATTATCTAATTGTTTGTGATGATTAGACCATTGACCTGTTCATAATCAAGTTAAATTTCAACAGGTGAGCAAATAAAAGTTATAGCAAGGCCATATGTAATGTAGATGTGATTTATTTCTGTAAAATGTATTTAACCTTCACATGTTTTGCTCATGAGAATTTTGTAAATATATATAAAAAAGTACTTCATGAATAGTAAATCATACAGTGAATGTTTCATTTGATAATAAAACATAAAAAGTCCATTTGACTCAGTTTTAATGCTGTACCTTTGTAAGGTAGGCCCTATATTATAATATATAATTGACCTCAAGGCTCCTGACATCATCCACTGATTCTGTTCAGGCCCGTAGCCAGGATTTGCCAGGGGGTTCACTTTTTGAAAAATTCTGGGGGGGTTCACTTTTGACAATTTTGGTCCAAAAATGGCCAAAATCACTTAAAAAGTGCTTGAACCCATCGAATCTCCCCTGGCTACAGGCCTGCTGTTACTGGGTGATGTCTGGACCAATGGTTAGTGGATGAATTGATATAATCCTTTTTCCAGTTTACATGTACATGTACACTTGCAAATTGATTTCATGACCACACATGTACAGTATGTCACAATTTTGTCCCTCTATGCCTTCCTTAAAAAATTGATGCAAGTAGTCTGTTATCTGTAGGCCCAACCCTCACTTTTATAAGTGCTTTTTATCACAAATCCAACATGTGCTACATGTATATATCTACTTATTTATATATCTATACATATTACATACCTAGCGAAGCATTTGTATGGAAGTCAATGGGAAAGTTAGCGAGCTATATCCATCGATATTGCCCGATTACCCCGATATAGCTCGCTTACCTCGTTTTGATATTAGATTTCTTTAATAACCATGATAATATCATGACGTCACGTCATTGTTACAAAGTAACCATGGGAACAAAGGCATGTAATACATCAGTTATGTCACTATGACGTGAAATATGCCTTCGTTCTTGCCCAAATATAGAGCCTCCCAAGGTCGGCCTATATTGGGAGAACTCAGGCATATTTCACGTCATAGTGACATAACCTCTAAATATGTTGTATATTTACGCATTTATACATTATAGTATATTACTATCGTCATAAAAGAAAAAACCCCACATAGTACTTGTACTTCATCTTGAAATACAAACAACTGGTGTTTTAGCATGTATAAGATATAAATAAATTGTATAGAGAATAAACATCCCTAATGTAAAAATGATATGTTAATCACACCATTAATATGCATTTAAAAACTCATTAAAGTAACATAAGATTATGATAGATGAAATAATGTTAATCCTCAATCTTAACTCTTTACTAACCTGTTCTACTGTTGCAGCGAACTAAAACTAGAATATGATTTATATATTTTGCTGTTTTATACTAGTTTAACTTAACTATGATAACACAGAACACATTTATATTAACAAAGTGTTAGTATATCAGTACACATCAAACCTTAGCAATATCAAATAGAAGTTACCTGATAAGCCTCCAACAGTTAATATAAATGTAAAAAGTTGTTAATCAAGCAAATGAAAAAAAATACTTAAAAAACTAAAGAGATTTTTCAAACAATTAAAACTAATTCTTATAACAAAAATAAGAAAGTATAAAGAACAGAGATGTAAATTATTGAAAGGGCGGTTCAGAGACAAAGTCCAATTTGGTGAATGAGGAATACTTCTCTTATCACATTATCTAATGATAAATTAATATATTATCAAAGTAATGAATCAACATGCCCCTATATTGTATATGCTCATGAAATCATAAGTTTTTACTCTGAATCAATTTAATTTATCTATATAGCAACAAAGTGGGAATATGGCTGACATTGAGTGTGTTGAGAGTCAGATATAACCTTTGGCTTTTGACATTTTTGGTTTCAATCACTCCATGACATGGCACTTTGGTAATAGGGTATAAGCCATCCCTCTTTCCTGTGTGAGCGATATGAATCAGTCATTTTTCTCTCCATATATCTATGCATCCAATCAAAAGGATTGACAATTTTTATATTGAAAATAAGTTTTTTGCCATATATCCATATTATTATAAAGATTTGCTTGAAAATTACATATTTGGTTTATAGGTAACCAATAAGTTCTTGAAAGTTTTTGCAAAATATATGTCATATTTCAAAATGAGTGCTACTTTAGTTACTGGAATATCACATTTTGGCCATGAGTCTAAAACTTTTGTAAAGAATTCTTGAATGTTAAACATGATGAAAATGACTAATAACTTTTATATTAAAATGTATTGCCATGTGAGCCAAGCACCCATGGTATTGCTTTTATTCAATTTGTCAATGAGTGCTACAAGGTGTCCATAAAGTCTCTTTTCAATTACAATACAAAGCCTGTGTAAAGTATAAAAACTTGAAGGACACCCTGTAGAATAGATATATATTATTAGGTAGGTACAAGGTCGATAGAAAGATGGCAGGGTGGCTAGCTACTCAATGCAAATGCTTGAATACCTTTTTACTTTTTACCAGAATTATCTTATTTTTCCAAACAACAGTTTGAAATTCAATCTAAATAGGTCTAATATATCATTGTCTATCTCTTCCAATTTATCTGTATCCCAACATGTATATGACATAATTATTTGCAAAAGTTTAAATACATCCAATATGTTCACATCCATCAAGAGTAATGCTCCCGAAAAATGACCATACCATAACTGATATTTCAAAACACAATTTTGGTCAATTGATACTTGAACTAGAAAATATACCTAGCTTTTATCTATCTTTTATTTTATCTATTCCAAAAGTGTGTAAATGGACCATAAAACATGTTTCTTCTTGACAACAGTTTTATAAATTGTTTGCATTTTAAAACCTGATTTAAAACACAAACAACATATAATTTACTGTAACTACCATTAAGCTTCACCTAACAACACTGGATGACCCAATGAAATAAACACAAGAGAGTTTCAAGCAAACATTATTTTTAAATATTCATTTAATTCACAAAGAATAACAAATCACATTGTAAATATTTGCAATTTCAGCATCAGGCAAGAAAAACAATCACGGGTATGACAAAGAAATCAAGTTGATTACAAACATACACATGTATAGTAGTTACAAATTACAAAGCATATCAATATTCATTCGGGTAAATTACATATTTTTCCACACCAAAGAGTATCAAAAATAAATCGGGATATGCAAGGGCAAGTTATTTATAACCAGATGAATATCAAGGTTTTTAACATGTTTAAAGATTTGACAAACATTTATGCTAGCATGAACTGAAAATAAAACAAATATGTAAATATAATTTTGATCTTTTGATATTTTTATGGTACAGCACTTGAATTTATGAAGCTGAAACTTGAGCTTTGTGTTTTGAATATAAAATGAAGTTTCTTCCGACAATTACTTCATAAAGCACATTTTAAAGTGTTACTGAACAGTCAGTCATGACTAAACATATATATATAGAATACTTCATATAATGCTGTTTGTGTTGTGTATCATATGTGTACGAGAAAAAACAGTCTTAATGGAATTCCACTGGGACCAGCCACGAGTGTTCAAAATAGCAGGTGTCCACATTTCAAGGTTTCTTAAATCAAAGAGTCAATGAGAGATAACATTATAATAAACACTGAGAGTATTCATTGAGTAGCATTTTGATTACAGAGATGTTCGTATATATACGTTTTTATATGAATCTTTTCTTCAAGCCATTTTGAGAAAATGCAAGCACCCATTTTTAACTAATTTTATGATCAGAACTACAAAAATGTAGTTAATCCAGATACCATTCACTGTAGATAGGTTTAACTGCAGAACAACATAAAATATATGTGTGGCAAATGCACCAGAGTTGCCATTTGGCTTATAATAGTCATTAAAAATAACATGGGTGATTTTAAATTAAAGCTAACTGGCATACACTTTTCACCATGACTGGAATAAAACAATGCCTATATAATACCAGGGCTCTCGCCAGGCTTTTAGACTGTCGTGCAGCACCACACTCTATCTAGCTCCCTCCACACCCTATTGGCAAATCATGACTGTTTCCACAGTCTAAACTTGACTGAATATACAATAATAGCATGTAAAAAGGATAAAACATAACATAAATATGATATCACGATTGAACGGTTATTCTGAAGATGTTAGCACCACACCCTAAATATTTCCTGGTGAGAGCCCTGAAAACTGTATTTGTCTTTAATTTGGCGCTACTTAATTTGGCGATATTGTATTTTTGGGCCTATTGGCATCTATTTAATTTGGCAGTTTTTCAAGTATCAAAGTGTTTCACGCAAGTGACATCCCCCTGTACTAACAAAATTAAAAACAATCTTGTCAGTGTTGATATTGAACAATTTCTTTAATATTTCTAGTTTCTATCAGTTTAAACGACCCGGACATCTTGATATCTCTATCATAACTGGAAATACACCGAACAAAAACATGTCAAATTCCCGGGAATTTTGGCGATTTTTCAATTTGCCAAAATTTGCCAACTTAAAACGCGTCCAAATTAAAGAAAAATACAGTAGATATCACCATTGGTAGAAACAAAGTTTTGCTGAGGTATGGCAGTCCTGTTCATATCCATTGTATGTATATAGCTTAGTATATATCTAAGCCAAAGGTAAGTTTATATCAAACTTAGCGTTTCAGCAAATGTTAATTTTGGCGAAATATCCAATGAATCCAGTTCAGGAAACATCAAGTAGCTCTTCAAAGCTGAAGGTAGAGGAAGTTCAATAATTGAAGCTCGTAAAGGGAATCGCATGTTTTGGATAATTGCTTGTCTTGCAATATGACTCAGCGATCTTGGGAAACATCTCACCTCACATAGCTGCTCTAATAGGTTTTGGTTGACTTGTAAAAGCTTTGGCAGAATTTTACCACGTCTTATCCACTTATCGATGACATGAATATCACAACCGCAAATGACTAGCATTTTCACCAGTGTAGCATCACAAAAAATTGTAACACCCATTTCAAAAATATTCAATAAATTCTCATAGTTACCGCTGCAAGGGCAGTTTTTGCGGTGGAGGCAAACTCCATTTTGCAGTAAAGTTTTCACAATGTTTAAGTTTCCTTCTGACGCTGCTTTGAGTAATGGACTCCAACCATCTTGGTCTTGTAAGTTAACATTAGCACCATGTTTCAGCAGTATATCCACACAGTCTTGGTTTCCATTATGGGAAGCCCATGCAAGAGGTGTCCAGCCATCTCTATCAGCAATATCTGGGGTGCGACCAGCTTTCAGTAAATTTTCTAAACACTTTTTATGGCCATTACACGCTGCTGTGGTCACAACTTTGCAACAGTCAAATTGTACATCACACATAATGGTTGCCTTATATTCATACATGAAAATCCATTATTTTCAGATGGAATGATGATATATCAAGCATTCACTAGTGTTTCACATCTGCGAGTTGAAAGTATATATAATCCTCTCATCAAAGAAAATATGTAGTAAATGTCCATTCAGATTTCGTCATGTTTTCCTACCTGAAAGCCAAAATGCAGTAACACTGTTAAATCACCAAATCAATTTAAACCCCAGATGCTATCCTAAAAATTCAACCCTCAGAGGATCTAGAATAATATTATACAGTTTAGAACTGGGAGTTGATCTTTATTACCACAAGTACAAGTAAGTGACTTTTATGGCATTTTATTGGTTGTTTGAATATGAAATTATGTCAGCCAGTGGTAGGTGACTGTGTGTCATATTTCAACCAATCAGATTTGGGAAATAACACTTTATGAAGTACCAGGAGGAGTGAGTAGCTCCCATAATTCTTTCATATTCTATCGTATTCGGGGATTCCCCATTACATCATCTCTTGCATCATCTCCAATCAAATTGCAGGATTCGATCACGTGAACAATCATGGGCACATGCTCTCTCAGTGCTGCGCATGCGCAGAGTTAAATTTGAAATCTTGAGAATGGCATTTACATCAGTTCAACATCGTCATTTCAAACCTACGGTAATACTATTGAAGTTACTCGATCCATACTTGTAGAGAATACTCATAAAACTACAGTGAACATTTGGAGATCCATTTCAATGGAAAATTGAGGCCTGTTTATAAAATTTGTTTTCGAACGTGCTAATATGATAGGGCATCTTTGGGAAATCTCCCCCCCTGTGAAGTACATTCTGATTTCTCAGGCTTTTGATAAAAAGATTACACCAAAATTAGAACTATTTTCCAACAGTATGGACAAAGCCCTCTTTTAATAAATGCAGAGTCAAACTTTTTCTGAGAGATACTGATTTAAAAAGTGAATTTAATCTGTGATTAAAGATTGCCAAAACGTTTAAAATCTGAACTTTGGAGAACCTATAATCTGGCCCCTGGCTGACCATGGGTGTGGCACAAGAAATAACCCCCCCCCCCCGTTATAAATTATGCTTATTAAAGGCCCACTTCGCGTATTTTCAATGTTCTTGGGCAAAATAAAGACTTTTATTTGAATTCTATAGAATGTCCAATGTATCGATAAGAACCCTATCTTCCATTTGACACCAACAACAGCCAAACGGACAACATCAAAGCTTACAATAAATTATCAAAAAATATTTTCGATCTGTCAAGCTTTATATATCAAGTTTTTATCAATCATGTCATTAAAAGATGGCGAAGTTGTTTGTATAACATGATACATTAATTTTTATAGAAATGTTGCCATCTTTTAAATCAAAAGTAATTAAAAAGAACCAAAGAACCAAAATTTTGAAAATTTCGCCTAAAATTGAAAATAAGGCCCAAAAAGGTCAAGTAAAAAGGTCAAGTTAAGGCACACTAAAGAGGCCCTACAAGATTTTTGGCCCAACATTTTTTTTCAAGGCCCATACTAGGGTCGCACATAAATTTTTAGGGCCATACAACCAAAATTTGGGCGAAAATTTTGAAAATTTATGGCCCGTTTTTGAAAATTTGGCCTTAAATTGAAAAAGATAAAGCCCAAAAAGGTCAATTAATTCCCAAAGAGGCCTAGACTATATCCTATTTAGTCTGAATTATATTCAGACTATAAGGCACCTATGTTAAAGTTTGGTAATTCCAAATATTTGTTTACATAGGAAGTGCTATTCAAAATGGCCGATTGGGTAAAATTAATTTGCACATTTTTACTTCAACTAGCTTTATTTCCACTAGACAATATGCTGTGTTACTTTTTATTGCATTTAATTGTACCTTACTATTTAATTGGAATTTTGTAATGTTTATTTTATTGAAAAAATGTTTCCTCCAATTGATAATTTTGTGCAAAAAATTTCACTGCAATTTCCACAGGAAAGTAGTACATCATAACAGACTGACTTCTAGTCAGTCTGTTGGATACATACTACAAAGAGGCCCACTAAAAAGGCCCTACAATATTTTTGGGTCAACATTTTTTCTGGGCCCATCCAATGGCTGCGCGGAAAACCTTTTAGGGCCCTAGAACCCAAATTTGGGCCTTTTGGAAAATTTATGGACCGTTTTTTGAAAATTTAGCGTAAAATTGAAAAAATAAGGCACAAAAAGGCCCACTAAGAGGCCGTACAATATTTTTGGGGCAACATTTTTCTGGGCCCATCCTAGGGGGTGGGGGGGGGGGGGGCGGCGCCATGCATCTGTTCATCAGATCTCGATTGCAGTAATTTGCTCGATTGTAAATCTGTAAGAAGGGCAATAGCAAGCAAGAGCAAAACATGTAATTAGCAAATGCAAATAAAATCTAAATTGCATACGGATCGTGACAATGGTATAAAAGGTGTAACTGCTAATCCCCGGCAATTTCTGAATCACTGAAAAATATTTGAAAATAGAAAATCATCCGAAAATTAGTCTAGACTATGTTTTTGGAAAATATAAGTTATTGGAAAGCTCTAATTCTATATCTTTTTAATCACAAATGTAGTTCTAAATAATTTGAAAAGACTGCATGCTTGTCACTCTAAAGGAACTTACAATATGAGATAATTACGGTTTATAGTCCTCGAGCTGCCTGTCTTTGCAGAAAGTGAAGGACATCAACAATGCGGATGAATAAAAAAGTAGCTCCTAATATTTCAATCTCAAAACAAAAGCTTAATTTGAGTTCTCAACATAGATTTTCTAGATTTCTGTGTCTAATTTGCTCGTTTCTTTTGGTATCAATAAAGTATTTCACTTTTGAATAATCAAACAAGGCATCAATGATCGTGAGAGAACTACTTTCTAGCAGGTTGTTTTTCTGTTGTCAAATTCAATCTTATTTGTGCAATTCTCTCATTGAACAACGTTGTTGTTGATTTGTAAACCAATCAGAGACAAGTTAACAAAAACTTAGACAACGTATGCAACAGGAAAGTGGTAAATCGGTCAAGGGCGAAGTAGGAAGTGTTCGAAAATGCTCATAATTTATCCAAAATAAACACAACAGCATTGTTTTGTACAATATCCGACTATGTAATATGTAAGTAAATTTTCATACATTTTCCCGCTTATAAAACTTTCTGCTAAATCTTCATTTTATATCTGAGAGAATTTTCCTCCAAATTTTGCAAATCCATATGATGAACATAAGCCTATAACTTATAAGACTCAGAATCCAAACACAAATTCTCGGTATAAGTTCATATGGTGAAAATAACGAAAAAATGAAATGTTACCGTGTGTCTACTTAGCAGTTTGTTCTAAAGTGGGGGACAAAAATAAATCTCAACCCTCAAAAGTTGTCACAATGAGCTAAATTCTAAGTTTCATGTCTCAAACTCTCCCAAGTGGTAGAAAAATAATTCCCATCCACTTTAAGTAGCACAATAAATGAATCCAAAGCCTCATACCTGCAAATGATGGATAAATCCCTACCAAATCGGACTAATGTTTTCATGAATCGCCATGTTTGTGATCCAAGGAGGATTGACTCCCAGAATGCAACATCAAGTAACCTTATTTATTCGTGACGTATTTCAAAACGGCGGAATGGCATTTTGAAAGCTGACACGTGTCATGTTGCATTCTGGGAGCCAACCCACATTACGGCGTAATCTGGCTCCAAAATCACCTCAACATTTGAAGAGTCGGCATTAACATGTGAATTCCACATCAAATTTTTAAGTTCTTATTTGTCATTATGGACACAAATTCCACTATATCTGGACTTACTATGACGGAGAAAATATAGCACTGAATACACTGAGGTAAGAATTTATTACATATGCGACAACATGTAATTTCCATAGGTTTTGTAATTCTTTATGCCCCCCACTTTATGTCATCCCTCCTGCAAGGTTACATTGTGGAACTCAGCCAACACGACACTGAAGGCAGTATTCTGAGGTTATAAAATCTAAATCGTAAAAATTTCCCATTTCTTCTTTAGTTCGTTGTTTTTCACCACTTTATGTGTAGTGTTTTCATTTAGGAGGCGGTCTTATTTGAATGCATCATTTCAGGTCTTTATGAATCAATAGATCAATAAGCAGACTAAAAATACAATTTAGCAGTTTCTTTCATTGCGCACTGGGCCTGTTAGGCACGAAATACAATTTAGCACTTTCGTTCGTTGCGTAATTGGGCCTTCTATAATCAGTAGCAAATGTTCGGAAAACATTTTCCAAAATGTTTACTTCCGTTTTACTTGAAGACATGGTTGGGTGACACATCATTAAGTCACATGATCGATACAGTAACTAGTCACGTGATCAGACACGTGTCACGTGTCAGTCACGTGAGATTGCAAAATGGACAAAATGGCTTGCAAAATGTTGTTGGACTAGCTCCTTACTAATGTAAATGCTATGTTTTGTGTTTAGATGAAAGTGAATAATGGCATTCAAACCACCGCAAAGGAGCTTTATTCGAGTCCTTTATGACTACCAATATACTGATGACGATGGGAATGACATAGAAATCAAAGAGAATGAAGAAGCAATATTGGTCAAGAAAACTAATGAAGACTGGTGGCATGTCATACGTCATGAAGGGGACAAGTTTAAAAAGATCTATGTTCCAGCCGCATATGTTGAAGAGATACCAGTGTCTTTTCAATTTGGTGGAAAAAAGGATACAGACAAAAAGAAAAATGATAATGACAGTGAAGTTAAAAAGGAAAATGTTGAACCAAAGGGAGAACCATTATATGATCAAGTCCCCAATGAAGATGGCAATACTGCAGGAAATATGAATGCAGCACCCAAAAAGACAAAACCATTACCCAAGTTGCCTATTGCTAAAAAACCTAGGGATGGGAGTGGATCTATTAAAGACACTAGTACAGTGGAACAGTCAAAGTCAGAGAAAGAGGTGGATAAATATGAACAACCATCATACGCTAACCTCGAAGATATTAGAGCAACTATTAAAAAACAAGATGCAGTGGATGTATATGTGAGTATGACAGTAAATTTTAGTAAAAATGGTAAAAACTTGATTTTAACCATTCCCAGTTTCTTATCAGTAATTGCCACAGTTATTGCCAAGGTTGTATAACATTAGTGCAGGCAATTTATGTATATATGAGTGAATATATTAGATATAATGATACAATGATATGGTTGTTTGGATTCTTAAATTCCAATCCTATATTGGAATAATAAAAACAAATTGACCCTAAATTTTTGTCCTGACCCTGATTTTATTGCATTTTAACTTTCAATACACATTTCAGTAATACACATAGTTTACATACTATGCACACAATGTTTTAATAATAAATAAATTATTAATGATAATTCTTATCCATTTGATACTGCAATGTAATGTTATAGATAAGTAAATCAAGGACTACTTCAATATTCTTAACATATATAGATTTTAGCACATTTCATATTTGACTTTAAACATGTACCTTTGATCTACCCTTCGAAATCCCCAAATCAAAAATGTTAACGAAAGCATTGTAAAGTATAAAGTATTCTAGTTTCTGTTTGTTAAGTCAATCACTTATAAGTTACAATATCCGTCTATGATTATGTCAATATTGCAAGAATAAAATGAATGCAATTGATATCAAACATGGTTTAAATTTTAGTAATATTGGATATTTTATATTGCATGATTGTACCCTGAGTGCAGAGTCTAATTCTAAACTAACATGAAGATGAAGCTCTCTTTTAAGAATCAAAGTTCAATGAATACTGGGGGTAGCGTAGTTGCAATTATCAACACCTCTAATTTGAACATATCTCAATGAAAACAATTTCTCTCTATCCCAATTTTATAATCTTCAGTTGTGTCTTCCAAGTTAAAAAAACCTTGGAATGTGAACACCTGCTAATCTGAACACTTTTGGCTGATCCCAGTGATGTTTAGAATTATAAGACAGGTTCTACCATATTTGGATTCCAACACTCGTTCATTTTATTCATAGATTCTAATATTCATTTCAACTTATTGATCAATGACTTAAAATATAATGAGATCACATTTCATAACCTGTAAATATATTTTTTTCGTTTCCACATGGTATTTAAGAGAAGTATAGTACATGTTCATGTATATATAGCAAATAAAGGTCAATGACTGTTTGCATAATGTAAGTGAAAACCAATAATTTCTGGTGATAAGTCATCTCAAATATTTGTTGACATAATTCTGTGTATTTGTTTTAATTGCACTTATCGTAACCTTCTTATGCGTTGTTGACTCAATAATATATGTTATGTCTAGTTTATCTCAGTCACATACATGTTTTTTCTGAATTATGGATTCAATATGCTGTTAGTTACATTTGTTATTTGTAAAGGAAACATCAATTTAACGTTTTATGATTAACAAATGAGATTGGTTTAGGAGGTTAATCACTATTAGGCGTTTTCTATCTTCATACTCCAGTGTTCGCGTTGACGCCGTTTTTTGCCATTTTTACGGAAATTTCAGAAGGTAGGACGTAAAAATCAAAATCAACTTACGTCCCTAGGACGCAAAAATTATAAACTGCTTCAAGATAACTTTTACTGCAGCACAGTAGCGGTGAAACATGATTTTCATCAAGATTTTCAAACTCACTATCTTGATATACATGTACAAGCAATGATCCAGGTATATTTATGTCGACAAATCTGATTGGCTATCATGACTACCGAAGATTAACAGAGTTTCCAGTATGAGACATGGATTTTGATTGGTTCCGATATATTCCGGAAATGCCGCAATCGAAATGGAAGATCAAAACATACAATATTGCAGAAATCCCCTGTGGTTCCCCACAAATTGAAACGATTGTTTTTCACGATTATCTTTATTATTTCCACTAGAAACCATTATACCATTGGTATATTGATCTAATGTAATACATCAAGATAATTGTTTAATGATAGATCGGGGTTTTTCATCTAAAAGTCTTCAGAATAAGGAGAAATGTTAATAAAAAGAAGCAAAAGTTCACGACCTTGACATGACCTTCAAGATCGCAAGTTTGTAAAATGTGAAAACAAAACTCTTAATTTGAGCATTTCCTTTATTCATTTTGGACTATTTTGGTATAACAATACTTAAGAATTGTGTGAAAAGGACCCAGTGATAGATATTTATCGGGAGGATGCATCAAATTACAATATATGTCATTTTTATCCCATTTTAGTGTAAGCACTCTATTATCGCCCACTTTATTTTCACTTTCACAATATTTTCTTGAACTTTGTGAAGAAATAAGAGGGACGCAAAAAAATTAGATGGGGACTCAAATTTTTCAAATGGGTTGCGTCCCTGGGACTCAGAAATTTTAATGGCTAGCACGAACACTGTACTCATTGTTGTTATTTCCCTCCGCTATAGAAATTTACATCACACTGGGTTAGGCTACAGGTACTAAGTTAGGTTGGTACCTGGGGATTCACTATATACAAAATTTGGCAGGTGTCATAGGCTGAATCCTCAGATATTATTAATATGTTCCCATACCAATCTGTCAATTTTCAATGTGTTCCCATACCAACTAAAATAATGCCTAAAAGCCATACCAAATCTTAAATAGGAGACCAATGGCAAACTAAATGTCAAAATATAGGACCAATGCCACCCATACCAAATATCCAGATATAAGATCGACCAAGGCCATTCAAAATGTTAAAGTCCCAAGAAGAAAGCAGATCATTCAGGAAAACAATCCGAGGCAACCTCAAATTAAGGATATTTGAAACTACTAGACTAATGCCATATCAAAAGGTTAAATATTTTTCATGACCATTCTCATACCAGGAAATGGAAAAATCTGACCATTGTCGTACCTCAAAAGTCATAATTTTGGGGGGAATTTTTATATAAGATAGATTATAAAATTTGGGTAAAGAAAGTACCTCACATGAGCCGAGGATCCTCGTCAAGGTTTATATACAGTGAACCCCTCGGGGGTTGGTAGTTTCAAAATCTGCAGGTCATATTCAAATCTACCTGTTCAAAAATCAAAACTGTTGGGTCGGTAGATACGGTAAATGCTGGTTATGAGAGGGAATGGGAGTGGCAACATATATGTACATGTATAGGCTTAATGCATTAATGCAGGACTTGCACATTAAACTCAAAGGCAGTATACAGTATTATGGCTATCATTGTCATAAAACCACAATCAGTCCATGTTATATCATAAGCACATGGGGCTTTCAATCCTTCATGGTTAAGAGATTTAACTTGTCAATATACATGAATATGATATTGATCATCCAATGTCACTGGCTTAATCACCTTAATCATCTGTGATCTCTAAAGTCTGATAGCCTTGACCTTTTTCCAAGTTTAGATTGTGTTTGTTATTGTGCGCCAGTTTTTAGTTTCCAACATTTTTCAGAATATGTATATAATTAATGCACCATTCAATCGTTTGAGTGAGACCTCCTCACTCAGGGAGGGTAAGGAATTTGATAAGCAATATTGCCCCCAGGGGTAGGAATTTGACAGAGAATTTCATCCCGGGAGTAAGGAATTTGATTTGCATGTTCCCAGGAGTGGGAATTTTTGACTGGATTTGTTTTGTCCAGTTTTTTTTGCAAATTATCATAAATTCAGTGATCCAAAGATCTCTAATGTCGAGAACAGATGAAAATAAACCCCTACATGTTGGGAAAAGTTTCAGGGGTAAAATTGCCGATGATAATGGCTGGAGAGAGGAATTCTAGAATGATACTGAGCGGTTAAAATTTCCAGTCTTAAGTTTTGGCGTGTCGAGCTTGTTCTCACCCTCCCTTGGGAAAAAGTTGCACTTATAGGTTCTACTTTTATTCATAGCATTGTCCATAACTTTTAAATGGTGCATAATATTGGAAGGTCCACAAATACTGCTTGCAGCCTCAACCGTATAAAATCTTCTGATTATGATTATATCAAAAAAAATGAAAAGTATTATGCAGAAAATTCAATGTTAACCTTAGTACTGGCAGTGCCTACCCTTTGCATTTGTTTGACCTAAAAGAGAGCTTCGTCTTGACTATTTCAGTTCACAACAAATCTCTGTACTCAACGAGCCATTCAAGTTTCTTTTTAGAAATATGGACAACTTTCTAATCTACAGGGTGTCCAATAAATAAGGTGAAAGATATTGTAACTTTCTTAATATTGCACCAACCTTGATGAAATTTTTACCTTTATTCTGTGAATTTAAAGCGTCTTCTATTTGATTGGCCAAAGTTGTGGTTGCTATAGTAACCGAAACAACAAAAAGGCGGGGCAAGTTTGTTTACGTCACAACTTTTCAAAACATATTTATTTTTTCTGATAGCTTTATTCATACTCCCAGGTCTATTACTACAACAAATACAATATAAAAACAGCCTTAAAGTCCCATTGTTATGAAAATAAGCTATTCAACATAATGTCCATCTCTAGCTATACACTTCTTATGCCTATTCACCCACTCTCTAAACACACTTTCAAACCCATTCTTGCCCATTTCCTGAAGTCTTGCTAAGACATTTGATCTGAGTTCACACACAGCTATGCTCACTAGTGAAACTATTAGGGCACTGGGGCTACCCCTACTTGCACACCCTCCATATACCCAAGACCTTGCACCAAATGATTTTTATTACTTATATGCAGAACTCAAACGTGACTTGAGAGGAAATAAATTTGGAAGCACTGATGAACTCAGATCACATGTCTTAGCAAGACTTCAGGAAATGGGCGAGAATGGGTTTGAAAGTGTGTTTAGAGAGTGGATGAAAAGGCATAAGACATATAAGAAGTGTATAGCTAGATATGGACATTATGTTGTGCTATACATTATGTTATGCTTATTTTCATAACAATGGGACTTTAGGACTGTTTTTATATTGTATTTGCGGTAGTAATAGACCTGGAAGTATGAATAAAGTTATCAGAAAGAATAAATATGTTTTGGAAAGTTGTGACGTAAACAAACTTGCCCCGCCTTTTTGTTGTTATGTCACCACCAAAAGTGGTGACATATTGTTATGGTCTCCGTTTTTTTGCGACGGCGTCCGGCGGTTGGTGGTTGGAGGTTGGCGTCCGGCGTCTGTAACAATTTCTTACAACTTCCTATAACTTAACAAATACTGTTTAGATTGAGTTCAATTTTTTTCTAAATCATCTACATGTTCTCAAAAGTTCAAATCTGACTTTAGATTTGACATTTGACCTTCAATGACCTTCTCAAGGTCAAAAAGGTATTTTTTCAACTTGCTTCACATTGACTAAATTTTTTTTCAAAATCATCTACATGTTCTCAGAAATTCAAATCTGACTTTAGATTTGACTTTAGATTTGACATTTGACCTTCAAATCTGACTTTAGATTTGACATTTGACCTTCAATGACCTTCTCAAGGTCAAAAAAGGTCAAAAAGGTCTGCTTTCAACTTGCTTCAAATTGACTAAAAAAAATTTTCAAAATCATCTAAGTGTTCTCAGAAATTCAAATCTGACTTTAGATTTGACCTAAGATTTGACATTTGACCTTCAATGTCCTTCTCAAAGTCAAAAAAGGTCAAAAAGGTCTTTTTTCAACTTGCTTCAAATTGACTAATTTTTTTTTTCAAAATTATCTACATGTTTTCAGAAATTCAAATCTGACTTTAGATTTGACATTTGACCTTCAATGACCTTTTCAATGTCAAAAAAGGTCAAAAAGGTATTTTTTCATCTTGCTTCAAATTGACTAAATCTTTTTTTCAAAATCATCTACATGTTCTCATAAATTCAAATATGACTTTAGATTTGACTTTAGATTTGACATTTGACCTTCAATGACCTTCTCAAGGTCAAAAAAGGTCAAAAAGGTCTTTTTTCAACGTGCTTCAAATTGACTAATTTTTTTTTCAAAATCATCTACATGTTCTCAGGAATTCAAATCTGACTTTAGATTTGACATTTGACCATTACTGACCTTCTCAAGGTCAAAAAAGGTCAAAAAGGTCTGTTTTCAACTTGCTTCAAATTGACCAAATTTTTTTTTCAAAATCATCTACATCTTTTCAGAAGTTCAAATTTGACTTTACAAGTTCTCAGAAGTTCAAATCTGACTTTAGATTTGACCTTTGACCTTCAATGACCTTCTCAAGGTCAAAAAGGTCTTTTTTCAACTTGCTTCAAATTGACTAATTTTTTTTTCAAAATCATCTACATGTTCTCAGAAGTTCAAATCTGACTTTAGATTTGACATTTGACCTTCAATGACCTTTTCAAGGTCAAAAAGGTCTTTTTTCAACTTGCTTCAAATTTACTTAATTTTTTTTTCAAAATCATCTACATGTTCTCAGAAGTTCAAATCTGACTTTACATTTGACATTTGACCTTCAATGACCTTCTCAATGTCAAAAAAAGTCAAAGAGGTATTTTTTCAACTTGCTTTAAATTGACCAAATTGTTTTAGGTGGTGACATTTTGTCATGTTAATGCCTTGTTTCGGTTGCTATAGCAACCACAACTCTGGCCACTCAAATAGAAGACACTTTAAATTCACTGAATAAAGGTAAAAAGGTTTGGGCTACAAACTCTGAAAATTTCATCAAGATTGATGCAATATTAAGAAAGTTACAATATCTTTCACCTTATTTATTGGATACCCTGTATATATGGTCATTTCCTATGATGTCATCGCAAAGTTAATAAGTACTCATTTAGCAAGTGTTCCTTACTGCTCACTGATTGAGAAAAGATGAGTGTGGTAGGTTTGAATTGATCTAGGGCCTGGGCTGTCACGGTGATAGGTTGTGGGGACAGGGCTGCCAAATTGTAATATAGTCTAATACTTGGCAGAGAGTATTTTATAACTAGACTCTGCATGCAGGATAGGAGTAAATTCAAACAGTTGTTCCTTATATAGTAGCCACTTCATATTCTGACACTTGTGTTACATTTCAAAGATTTCCTTACAAGTATTAAACGCTGTTTGTACTATAGTTATTGGGATCTTGGATTGTTTTGAAAATTGAATGGAAATATGGGTTTTATATGCCATTTAATGTTATTTGGATTGTTTTGAAAATTGATTAAAAATATGGGTTTTATATGACATTTACTGTTTAAATTTGGATTGTTTATATGTTATGATGATTCCCATGGGAAGTTTGAAAAGAGCAACTCTTAATGAAATTATTTATTAATCCAGTGTTAGGTTGTCATGACACCAATTTTTAGAAAGGTTTTGCAGGACTAGGGATATGGAATCAAAAAGAAAGGAGATGAGGGATAAGGCACTCTATTTAATTTTTAGCTTATTTTCAACGTCATATGTGATTCCAAATAAACTGCAAATAAGTGAGTAAGAATTATAATTCAATATTTTATTATTAACTATTATAGGAGGGACCAGAATATGCCAACTTACAAGACATTCAGGAATCTATAAAAGCGAAACCACCCAGTCTACCTGCTCTGCCAAAACCTGGCCAAAAACCTATTAAAATAGTTGGTAAGTTTATTATTAGAATCTTCTAGTAATCTCATGATTGATCATAGAAAAATTTTGAATGAAGAAAACATGACTTTTCTTTTTGGGCGTTTAATCACTTGAATCAGGAAGTAAAGCATGTCGTATGTTTTTTGTATTATTCCACTCTAGAGCACTTACAAAAAGGCTTTGAAAACTTATAAATGACATCATGCTATTTTTATTTTTTTATTTTATTTTTTATTTAATTCATAATTGATCCTAATGCTAGAAATATATTGGCGTTAAGTTAAATCACATCACATAATTCATGAGCAGAAAGCGGGACCTAAGAGCAATTGCAACTGTTTTGACCGAAATGCCTGGTTTGTAAAAAAATTGCCAATTTTAGTTTTTAGCTAAAAACATAAAAAGGCAAGGTAACTTCTTGTTTTGATTGAAATCATGTTGATCTGTATAAATGTTAATATTTGAATATAATTTTACTCCTTCAGGAGAGAACTGGGAATTACATGAAGACAAAGAGACCAACAGAGCCTTCTATTATAATACAGAGACGAAGGAAACCAGCTGGAAACCACCTAGAATCACAAAGAAAAGAGAAAGTCCTAAGGTATATTCAGAATATGGCCAATGTGTTTGTCACAATCACATATCTTGAATAATACCAGGAGATCTATGAAATCCATCTTGAATATTCTCGGGAATATATTATGTACCAATTTCTAGATTTGAATGGATTCAACTGGACTTGAAGTTTTTACACCTTGGAGTAGCTGTTATACTAAGATGTTATGGACTTTTTATTGACAACACTGGCATTCAGATTTATATATGGATTATTGAATTTTGACACTTATTATTCACTGAAGCCACTGAATGAAGTTCATGAAAGGATATAGAGAAGCCATCCATACATTTATATGTTCATCTGTCTGTACATTTGTCCAGGTGGTAACTCAAATATCAGTTGACATATTTGGTTCAAATCTATAGGCTGGATACCTCATGGACATTTTGCTTGAGAAGTGATTTCCAATATGGCTGCTTCTTTCAAAATGGCCACTGTTTTTTTTTTGTAAAAATGTATTTTTTGATTAACTGAAATACAAGTGGATGGATTTGGTTCAAATTTTATCATCTAATGCCCAAGGACATATTATATCTGCTCACAATCGTTGCATACTATTTTCCAGAAGAAATAGAATTTAATATAAACGAAATATCAGTTATCAGATTTGGTTTAGATTTTTAGTCTGATATTTATGAGTATTAGACCTCAACTAGAGTAGGGATTTCTAATGTTGTGCCATGACAATACTAAAGCCTGGTTATTTCTATCATGAAATTTTCAAAATGACATATGATTTGATACAATGTCTTGATCAGGTAGATCTGTTACTCCGGGAGTTGTTATTTTTTAGCTCATTTTATTTATTCTGTGAAGGGGAGAGTAAAAGAAGATTTTGTCAATGAAGTATTGATTTTCATGGGAAAGTCAAGTGAACAGCAAATCAACATTTCAAATTTCAAGAGGAGCAGAGGGGTGGATTAAATCATTAGGAAAATAACTTCATATTCAACACTTCTTGTCAACATTTGGACACCATCCTTTTTAATGTACTTGCACATGTTATTTATGTATTTCCAGTCAATCCGTGCTCCACAACCCCCAACTAGTCCCAAACATAATTCGGCGTTGCGACCCTATGGCTATAGGAAAGAAGAATCAGACTCAGGACAAACATACTTCTTTAATATATACACAAAAGAAAAGGTGGGCTATGTGATATGTTTGTTTTATTTCTTAAGAAATAGAGGTTCTTATATGAGTACCTGTGCAAGATCGTCCATTCTTGATGAGCTTTGATAATTCTTCTTTATCGAGTCGCAGACGAGATAAAGAAACATTATCAAAGCGAGTCAAGAATGGACATTATGCCATATTTTCACATTTTCATGATAAAACTGAGTGAAACTAATGGAACTTCATTTTTCAATTGTTATGACATCATAACAATATTATAGAAAATACATGGATACACGTGGCAACAAAGTTACATTGTTATGACGCCACAGCTAAGTTTTGTAGAATGAGCATGGATATGCATAGCAACGGTGTACCCATTGCCATGTTGTTGATGTTTATAAATCAGTGATGTCACAAGTAAATCTCATCTTGCACGTGTGACTTTTTAGGATGAAAGATGGCAATATCTTGCATGGGGTAAAGATGGCTGTATCTTTGTTAGTCATATGAGAAAGAATACTCTTGTGAGATAAAATTTGAATAATTAATGTTAACTTTTGTTATAAAGAAACTTCTGAAAAATATTTTCAGACATCACACTTGTCTTTAAATGTTTCTTGGGTCAAAAAAAGCAAAGCAGTAATTTAAATGATTTTAAATTCTTGTCCTATTTCCAGTGGTTTAGTTCATCTACAGAGGAAGGCAGGACCTACTTTTATAAAGAAAATAGTCCCGAGTCAGCATGGGCGCTGCCCGAGGTAAGAACAAATAGAAGTACAATTAGAGAGTGAATGATGGTTGCTACATATACGATTGTATTGAATGGAACAACTCATCTAAGGATTGGGTCGATAAATCAACATTCTGTCAAAAACAGTTAATTATGTTTTTGACTAAACTAACTTGACCTGATAGTGAGACTTTTGATTGAGTTGGAAGTTTACGACTGCCTAGACAAGAAAGGGTTAATACTGAATATAAACCCAAAAAATCAATGTTTTTAAAGATCAAACTGGTCTTCTCTGACTCCTAATTGCTTGCTTGTTTGCAAGTAATAGTTAACATGAGTAAGCATGATATCTGAAAAAGCCTACATAGTTAAAGCAGGGCTTGCATTAACGGCGTCCCGTACATGTTAAGGACTCAAAAATAATTTGGAGGACGCAAAAATTGAAAATATTTCCGTTTTTTGGACGCAAATTTTTTTTAGGTCAATACTACAATATGTTTACAACGATACCTAACAAAAACAAATAATTATGATCTCTCACCTTTATTTGAATCGTAAATAAGGCTCAACATGTTGAATATTTACAAATAATCATGATTCTCTCAAATTTTTTTGACTTTGTTTATATTTGAAACCATGACACGCCACAGTTTTTCCTATTCAGAAACAAATATTAGGTTATTCATGAAATAAAATGTTTTCATTGTCGAATGAACGAACATGCATTTATTCAGTCCGTACTTAATGTTTACTTCCGTTTAAATATTCGCGGCAAGAAATTATACCTCAAAACTAGGGCTGGCACGGAACGGAATTATTGTCCGAACCGTCCGATTTTGCCTTTGGAAATGGACTTTCGGACCTACCTTCTCATATTCCGATAATTTTCGGAATTTTTATTTTCCTTAAAGAACATTCACTTATCGTTACAGCGATACATTAACTCGCTATAGCGAACTCGTACTATGAAACGAAATCAATAAATATATATAATTATTAAACATTTTCACTTGGTAAAGTTGTTTTATATGTAATGAATGATAGAAATAAATAAAGTATGATTGTTTTATATATATTCAGTACCTATAAGAAAAGAAAATTATTGTAAGAAAGCCAATATACAATATACAGTAACAGTTGTATGCCAAGGTGCCAAGAAGGCAAGGACATTAACATTTTGCCATTAGTTTTGAACATTTATGTCACTTGTTCTGGCAGTTAGATAGTGTTAGTGTTTGTATTTAATAAAGTTAAATATATATAGTTTTACACTGCTGTTCCTATGGTAACAAAAATGAGAACTTCAGGGGAGAAGTAGGAACTATTTTAAATAAGGTCCGAAATTCCGAAAGTTCCGAATTCCGAAGCCAAGTTCCGAGTTCCGTTCCGATTCCGTTCCATGCCAGCCCTACTCAAAACAGGCTAGAAATAGGGGACACACTTTTTTTCAAAGGACACACTTTTTAAAAAAAATTGCGTCCTTGGGACTCACAAATTTTCTAACCTAATGCAAGCGCTGTAAAGTAAAACATTTTTCCTAGAAGAATTATGCCTATTAAAACTTTGAGAAAATGTATTGTAAGGATTTATTTATGTTTATTCAAAATATTTAACTCTGAATCATTTCATTCTATTTTTTGAAAACAACTTTGGTTTGTGTCATTTAATTGGTATTTTATAAGGAAGTAGAAAATAAGTTGTAACAGTAATATGTGTATGTGAGCAATTTTATCATTTATTTACCAGTTAAATAAATGAGTTGCATTCATGATCTACAAAAATAGATAGTGAGAGAGAAAAGTTGTCTATGTATGTACCTTCAGTGTTTAATTGATAGACTGCTATTTATGACAGGTGCACTGATGACGTGTAAATTTTGTACTTTTCTACTAATTCGTTCCATAAACCTTCCAAGAGATTTTATTCGGTAAAGACCAGAGATTTGGTCTCTTGGTTGAGATGCGAATTAATATTTCATATTGTTAGTACCTCAGTTGAAATACTCGATTTTGATTGGTCAACGAGCGGTGGATAATTTTAACTGTACACCGCGCAATGCATTGCCGGTGAATAATATTCCCAGCATTCCACTAAAATGACGTCATTATCAGACGATAAAATGGCCGCCGCTAGCACTAGCCGTTTCAAAAATGTTGAAGATGAGGATATTATTAGTCTCTTAGAGAGTAAAGACAGTCAAAATACGAAGAAAAATCTAAAACTTTGTACAAAGCTTTTAGTGGACTTCGCCCAGGAGAGTAATTTGACTCCATTGAGTGAACTTGCGGCCGTGGCAGATGTAGATAATTTTTTGAAATACAACATGAATGTCTCGAGGTCTGGATCCAACTTCAAGTCAACTTCACGGGTCAGAAAAATCTAAGATATTCTTCGGACTAACAAAACAATTATAGACCTCTCCATTCGGTTAACTGTCAAAAGTATATCCCTCGACTGTAAACCTCGACCTACGGTCTCGGTTTACAGTCTCGGGATATAATTTTGACAGTAAACCTCTGGAGAGGTCAATAATTGTATATAGTAACTCATCTGAAGAAATGTTTACAAATTCATTTTCATTTTTGCATGAAAAAATCTTTGCTTTGCAAAATTATATATCTCGTAAGCATCACTAAGTTTAAACTTCATAAACACTTTGGTGTGTTCACTTGGTTGAATCTTATTTGTTCGTTTACTTTTCATCATTGTTTTCTTATGTTGTTGGTAAAGTGGTGCTGCACCTTTGAAAAAGCGTGGAATTACTTTTTCAATCATGATGATTGACTCATCAAAGTATTCAGTAAGACCTACGAATGTGTAGTTTTTCTCTATGTTCATTCTAGCTCTTTGCATTGCATAGGTTCTGTTGTTGGAACACTCATCGCTATTCCCACAAAACCATAATGTATACATATCATGTGTGATATCACAATGGGTTAGATCATCTGAATGCTGGTCTATGCACTCCTCCAGTGTCATATTGAGCTCCTCTGCTGTGTATCGTGTCTGCATATTAACGCTATGTCTCCTGTTGTAGTAAAACATTGACACCGCTTGGTCAACTGGATCCCGTATCATGTTCATATAGAGAGGCATTGGCAGGCCATACTTTGAGAAATCAACAAAGTATGTATGCTTATCAAATACAACTGGTTTCCGTATAGTTGTAATCTGGTGCACAAATTCAAATTCTTTAGTTTCACTGAAGGTATAGTTGTGATAGGCACCACTGGTTTGATATATGAAATGATTCTTTTCTTGAAGTAGTGTTATCAAAAGCAACATTGTAGTACTTCCGCATTTGGGTAAACGGTTATAAATTAGTTTGAATGGGTCTTTCTTGAACTTTGGGAAAGGTTTAATTGTCATATTTTTTATTGAATCATTTATGTCTCCATTGCTCATATTTTGTCTTGACATGCTTATCATTATGTTGTTAAAGTTTTCGATTGAGTTTGGATCGTTTGCGTGTGTTGCTTTTATCTCATCCAAATCGTCATTCCAGTCACTGAAATGTTCTTTCATTGTCAATGTATGAAACAGTGAGATTGTGTCTTTTTGTGATGTGGTTTGGTGTCCAAGATTATTCGTAGATGTGAAGTAATGGAAGTAAATCAGTGTTTGTGCAGCCAATGTACATATTCCTAAGATATAAAACTGAAGGTATGTTCTATTTGCACTGGTGCGCATTGTCCTTTGAATTTTCCTTCTTTTGATCCTATTTCATAATTTCCCATTTGTAGTTTCAAAATCTGTCTTATGTTCTGCTATGACAAGAGTTTTAGCCTTTCTTGAACAGAATAGCAATATAAAACTGAATCTATGTATTTGAAAGAGCTAATGGTGTTATTCTGCCAGAAGACATATTCTAGCCACATTATCTTATTCATTTTTCTTATTGATCACACTTTCTTATCACCCAAGGGTTAGATGTTAGACAATTAAACTGCCCATTGATCATAAAGCTTTACTCTAAAGTGCATTTTTCAAATTAATTGTGAGGGTGAGTACAACAATCCCCATAACATTTATATTAAAAAGCTGTATAACAGACATGTAGTCTTATTAACATTCTTGAAAAGTGAAATTAATGAAATGCAACAATATTTAATTCATTTCGTCAAAATTTGACAATCGAAAAAAAATAATGTGCCTTGGAGAAGGATTCAAGATTGACAAGTAAGCTGACAAAATAGATAATAATATTGAAAATATAAATTCCATGGGTCATGACAAGGTTAGTACTTCTTGATTCAAGTCCAAAAATATTTGATAAGATATAAACCTATTAAACCTGTTGGCGTCATACTGCAGCCAAAGCGTTAATTTAAGGGAAATTAGCAATGAACAAAAAAGATTTATTTTCATTAAATCAAAATAATAAATAACATTTAAATCCATGACAAAACATATAGTATTTTACAACCATACTCCAAGCTGGCCTGAAATGATTGACATTAACTGCACATGAAGTGCGAAACCCATTCCAGCGATTATAGCAATTTATCAAACACTGACACACACCTGTAGTATGCAATTAACAAATTACAGTTACATTTCTATTGGTACAGTGGTAAATTCAATTTCACTGTCATCTTCAACTGCTGTCACAAAACATGTGCAAGTATTTTGAACAATATTATGTCTCATTAAAATGAACATTTGGACGTAATGAACAACTAATATTCAATGCTAGATTTTTTAAGATTTCACAGGGAGTGAATGGCAAAATCATTAGTGAATAACTTATTTGCATTTAGCTAGCTATATAGTAATAGCTATATATTCCAATAGAAACGAAATTGTTTTAGGATTGTAGCTCAAACTTTACAAGGATAATGTCTGGTATCATATTGTTGAGCTATAAACGTAAAACTGAGAAATTGAAGGTAAGGATATCTCTGAATTATTTTTTTTTTAAATCTTCAATTGTAGTTGTAAATTTCAAATTTACACTTTACACCTTAGTCTACTTCTGACTCCTGAATATTTAATCATGAAAATCAAGATTATCGCTACTGCCATGTAGTCTAAATCTAGTTAGAAATTTGTGTTGTGAGACATGGACGTAGCCAGGGAGTGCGATGGGAAAACATTGACAAATTATAGTTTGAAATGCTTCGAATAAACCATACCCCTTTTGGGGCTTGTTTCATTCGCAGTGATGCAAACCCAAAAAATCGCACCCCCTTGACATTTGCTGGCTGTGCTCCTGTGAGATCAATGTTATCTATCTGTTTGGTCAATCAGGGCGGAGAAATGAAGTACTTCCTCATAACAAAACAAATGAATGACAATAAAAGTTGCATTCATTCATAGATCATAATAAGGAATGTTTTATGAAAGATTAGATAATACATTTTTACTTTATATTATCCCTCCCAAAGTGAAGGGTCCTTGTGCAATTTTTAAGTGCATGTATAATTTCATATAAAAGAAGGATGCAAGATTTCGATTACTGACAACAGACAGAACATATGAAAACAACAGGCAAAATTATTGGATGAGAAAATATATGTTTAATTTTGATATTGAAGCAGTTGCAGAAACTAAAAACAGCAGAGACAATTGACCATTGCCTGTCACGAAATATCTCTGTACAATAAGGTGTGAACCCATTGTTTTCTTTATTCTTATTGATAAAACAAAAATTATGAATATTTTTCTTTTGTGTTCAGGTAGATCACCAGAGATCAGACTCACTAGACAGTTCTATAAATAATATGGAGGAAGTGACCAAAAGAAAAAACAATACAGGAACCAACGAGCGGGACTCGCGGGTCAAGTCATTTATGCCACCTGAGGTGAGTGTGAAAAGTCCCCATCACTGGCTGGAAACATGACTGCCAGTCAGGCAACCAATTTCATTGACAACCCATTTTCCAAGCCCATTGCCAAAAAGTAATATGGGATAATCAATGAGACAATTGTGAGATTTGAATGATGTCATATATCAAGATACCAGAATGAAACTTGATATCCAAGCTGATTTATCTTTACAACCATGGTATAAATAGAGGATATCCTATGATTTATTAGAGAATATATAAAGTATAAATTATAGGCTATCCTCTATATATTTGTTGGATCAATCATCATTTTCTTTATGACATGGGGTTAGAGGTGATCAATGCTTACTTGCATATAAACTAGATTAACTGTGTTTAGATACCTTTGTTTTGACTTATATATACATTATACATTAAAATTGCGCTTATTAGAAGTTTGACAGAGTCTAGATATTGATGCTATATACTGGAATGAATATTGAAAGTAGCATTTTGGTAGAGGTTTGAAAAGTAAAGCATATTTCAACAAAATCCTAACATAGATTGGCTTCTTCTATTTATTTGCTTACACCTTCATTCATAGCATCCAAAAGTATATTTCTCACACCATTTGTTTATATAGTCATAGCCCATACAAGTTTAACATAGTGACATAGAGGCATAGTTCTTGTTAACCAAGCACAAATACTAACACATACATGTACATGCATGTTACAAAACTTGATTAAATTGCGTCATTACGAAGCATTTTACAAAAAGTTTCGCAACCAAGGATTCTCTACCTGTTAAACACTTCAAAAAACCTTTGTTGCAAAGCTTATTTGTCAAAATGCTTTGTAACAGCAATTAAACCTACTGTTTAACTCTAACCAAGTATAGCATTCATTAAATGCAAACAGCAATACACTTTTGGATGACTTGTACAGTACTTGCCTGTACGGTACTTGATTCTATAAGAACTTGACTGTGCATTACTTGCATTTTGTAGCATGAAGCATTTTGAAGGGGCCATCTCATGTGTGTAAATAATTTTCAGTATAACGAGATGACCCCTTGCTATTATTTATTTGCAGACATTACGGAATGTTTCATCCTTTTTATCTCCTAACAAATCTCCATCACGAGCTAATTATGTAGACCTTCCATTTGACAATGTTAACCATAGACATAGCAGCGTAAGTTTAACACTCGCTTCAACTAAATGAATTATCTTGTAAAACAACATTAAAGCATTACATGATCAGTCTACAGTATACAGTGTGTAGTATGGAGAAATATTAATAACTGCTCCATCAAGTTATCAATTTACTAATTACTTTTGGGATTCAGTACCCGAATAGATGCTGTATATTAGATGATTGTAAAAACTAGAACTCAAGTGAGGCTTCTATTTTGAATCAGTGATGAAAAAACATAATTAATCTACTATCTACAGTTAGTAGGACTGTATTGATCATTTAAATGTCATTGTTTTTTGTGTTGTGTCAGTTACTTGATAGTGAACTTGAATCTTTTTAAAAATATGATTTTGCAATTGGTTTTATTATTGAGCTCAAATGAGGCCTTGCTTGCTACAACTCAGTGATGGGAAAGTGTTGTTTTACAAAATGATTTTATGTTGAAGTGTTTTCTTGTAGAATGCACATCTTTTAAAGTGACTAACATGTTCCTAGTAATGTTTATCATTCACTCATTTATGTTTGCTTCTCTTTTAATAGTGTGGCTTTTTGTTAGAATATGCATCATGTATGAATGTTATTTGTTGTTCTTAGCATTATGTTGGGAAACTAACTCGTTTTCAAGCATTTATTTTTGTTATTGCTTTTTTAGAAGCCTAGAGCTTTTAGGCGACAGTCGTCATTGCCTAATTTGTTAGCGTACCAAGCTGTGAGTTTTGATGTTGGCTAACATTATGATTTTTTTTTATTTAATCCATATTCTCATTTCTTTGTTTCCTTAAATTTTTCTGTTGTCTTTTTTATTTAATGATCAGTAAAATATATTCTCTGTAGGTAGATGTAAATATATCTTCTATTTTTTCGTTTATTTGTAGTTTAGTTTTGCAGTGAATGATTCTGATAGATACTCTTGAATATTTTTCTAACAGTTCTCCTGTTTGCAATCTGCTAATTAAAATGCATAATCAGATTAGCGAACCCTTTCAACAAATTATATCAATTTTAGGCCTATATAATTCTTTGTCTTGTCTTTTTTCTAAATAATCCCAAAGTTTATATGTCTGATTCTGCCTCTAAGTAACTTTGTTTTTAGTGATTGTACAAAATGAAAAAAGGCTGATAATAAAATAACACTATCAAGTTTTTGCAAATGACTGCATTACTGCATGCTGCATGTTTGAATAGCATGGTAGACAAATTACCAAAACTTGAGTGATCACCCTGTACTAATATATTATTAACATTGCTATTAACATGATATCTTTTAGATATTGACTATCTCAATAACCACAGTTTGTTTCAAGTTTATGTCACCACCAAGTATGATGATGATGACATATTATGGTCCCTGCTTGCTATGATAAGTGTTTGCTATGGTTTCACTGTTAGGCATCTGTAACAAACTGTTACATTTTTTGTAACCCTTTGCAATATATTACCATGTGGTGACATTTTGGTATTTTAATGCCCCACATCATTTTATTTTAGTGATGTGGCATATATACTGTTCATTTTTATTGTACCTAATAAAGGTACGATATTGTCGTCAGCTTGACGGGCGGCGGGCGGGTGGGTGGCGGGCGTGCGGCATCTCACTTTTCAGCTTGTCTACAGGTTTCCAGCCAAACCATTTGACAGATTCATCTGAAATTTTCAGGAATGTTTCTACGTATCAAAGTTAAGAACTGATTAGTTTTTGGGCATTCTGGGTAAATTTTAAGGTGGCCATTTTGGATTTTCCGTCCTAAAATCTTCACTTTCAAGACTTGTCTACAGGTTTCCAGGCAAACCGTGTGACGAATTCATCTGAAATTTTCAGGAATGTTTCTACGTATCAAAGTTAAGAACTGATTAGTTTTTGGGCATTCTGGGTAAATTTTAAGGTGGCCATTTTGGATTTTCCGTCCTAAAATCTTCACTTTCAAGACTTGTCTACAGGTTTCCAGCCAAACCATTTGACGGATTCATCTGAAATTTTCAGGGATGTTTCTACGTATCAAAGTTAAGAACTGATTAGTTTTTTGGCATTCTGAGTAAAATTTAAGGTGGCCATTTTGGATTTTCCGTCCTAATCTTCACTTTCAAGACTTGTCTACAGGTTTCCAGCCAAACCATTTGACGGATTCATTTGAAATTTACAGGGATGTTTCTACATATCAAAGTTAACAACTGATTAGTTTTTGGGCATTCTGGGTTAATTTTAAGGTGGCCATTTTGGATTTTCCGTCCTAAAATCTTCACTTTCAAGACTTGTCTACAGGTTTCCAGCCAAACCATTTGATGGATTCATCTGAAATTTTCAGGGATGTTTCTACGTATCAAAGTTAAGAACTGATTAGTTTTTGGGCATTCTGGGTAAATTTTAAGGTGGCCATTTTGGATTTTCCATCCTTAATTCTTCACTGTCAACTTGCTGTGTTTTAGGTACGATATTGTTCACGTCTGTGCCTTGTTTCTTAAACTGTAGCTACCACAAAATAAAATAATTACGAAGAAAGTTATTGTAAAACATTTTGTTTTTCATGATTTTTAAATATTCAATTAATACTTTTGTTGATATTTCCAGGGCAACAGACTAGCTTTGCACAGTATAAATGAAGACAATCAGGACAAGACTAGTGTAGATACAATTCCTTCACCATTCATTGACAAACCATTTTCTCCAGTAGAGGTGAGCAACAGTGGTTTCATGATTAATATACTTCAACAGTTCCTTGTTTCTAAAAGACACATTGTGCGTAAATAACTAAATATTGCCCACTTATTCATCAAACCAACATTTGTATATCCATTAGTGTAAGTGTTGCATGTTACTGTCTTATGTAAGTAAATATTGCATGCTATTGTTAGATGGTTTAGTATTCTATGGTATATTGTCTTAAAACATTACATTTATTCTTTTCTGCTTGGTGTCAACATGACATGGAAACATAGCTTAGATAATGATGATTTATTTGACATACTTTGGTGTCAGTTCTTTTACCACAAACCTTTACTTTTTGAACTGTATTTATTACATAAAAAATAAGTGCCTGTTGCATCGTGTTGATGTTGTCAATCGAAGTGATTCAAGTCAATTGAAGTGATTCAAGTCAATCGAAGTGATTCAAGTCCTTACGATTCTGTTATTCAGCTCCATTGTAATAGGAAATTCAAGGGAATGCATTCCTCATCTAATCATTAATTGTTTTATTAGAATTTTTTGCAACAGGCAACATTAATTTTTTGACATTGAAACAGTTCAAAATAATAGATTTCGTCAAAACAACTGTGTAAAATCCTGCTGCTATTGGCACGCAGTCCTAACTTCGCCATTAATTTAAATTTTTGACCTATCGGATGCTTATAAATCAAGAAAATCAAGTTTTTCTTCAAACATATACCATTAAAAGCAAAACAAAATTGCCTTTCTTACGGTGCATTACTTTATTGTAAAGAGTCCCTCGTTCTAGCAGCGTTTTGTTTGGTCCCCAGCTATTAGAAGGCCTTCTTACAGCTGGGGACCAAAATGCCGCTGGAAGTAGAGACTCTGTTTAAGAGAATAATGTACCATCAGAAAAGGATTTTTGTTATGCTTTGAATGGAACAAGTTTGAAGAAAAACGGTGCCGTATGAGACTCGTAATCCTTGATTTTCAAACATCCGGTAGGTCAAAAATTCAAATTAACTGTCGAAGTTAGGACCGTGTGATTGGGACCCCTTGAGTAGTGTCAATGGATTGTCAAATTGTCAATGGAGTCAAAATAGATTGGGATAGAATATAGATGTCACCCTAAATGTGTTTTCTTACAGCCTTGTTCAAGTGATTCAGACAGCACCCGTGGCAAAGAAAGTGTCTCCAGTATATCCTCTAGCAATACCAGCAATTCTAACCCTGGCTCCCCTGTACTGGCAAAGGTTGGCACCCAATCTGGAACTAGAACTCCGTACAAACGTCACGCCCCTCCTATTCCACAAGTTCCAAAAGACTTTATTATACCAGAATCTGATTTAGATCCAAACTTAAATGAAACCAAAACTCAAACAGAGGCTTGTCAATCTCAGAAAGAGGCTGACCAATCTCAGAATGAGGCTGATGGTAATATCCATGCAAGCACTAATAACAATGCTGCTGATACTAAACTAAAAGAGAATGACAAAAGTTGTGATGTGCGATCTGAAAGCAAGCATGATGTAGTTAGTTCTTCTGCCAAGGCCCACTTCCAGATGGTATGTTTGTGTGACATATAGGTGGCGCTCCCTGCATTCTCTCTCCTCATGCTCTTTCCTTATTGGTTGTATCATTATCTCTGGCAAAGGATCTATATGGTCTCGTTTTTTAAAGTTAGTTGTTTATGATTAAGTTATAAGTCAGTGTATCATATATTTTTACAAATCAAAAGTGATAAATCTGGCTAGAAAGACACCCTTGATTCAAATGACAAGAACCCTGAGAACACTGAAGGGTCACATGATTAATCAATGAAATTCAATTTAGCTCTGTATCGTCAAATAGCAACACCTGTAATAAAATCAACTCTTCAAAAAAATTTTCCATAAAGAGGTTCAGATAACGTTTGATCATATCAGTGATTCTTCCAAAAAGCAACTAGCATATGCAGATGGTCACTTCTTAGAGGCGTCCACATATACAAGTTTTGTTGTACATGTATTTGCATATCAGTTTATTGTTCTGACTTGCCAGAGACTGATACGACCTTGCACCCCTCTGTTTTTCCAATGTAATCTAATCTTAATGGTTTTCTTAACCATTGAGTCACTCTAGAATGTTTTCTTTCCCGTGACTTTTACATTGCATCTATCATCTTCCTCTCCTGCATTTTTGAAGCTTTCAGTATGATTCTATGTGATACTCATGTGATCTTAGTTTTAGAGTAGCTCTGCTGATGTGGAATGTTGCAGCTTCTTTCTATTAATCCTTACTATTATATAAATACAATTAAGTTCTATCATAATGGTTTAGTTGTATCATTCATTTCAGTTCTTAAAATCATAATTATCCCACTGAACGTAGTTTGGAAGGGATATAGAGAAGCTGTCCATTCGTCTGTCCATGTGTTCATCCTTCCATCAGTTTGTCTGTCTTAGTAGCTTAGTAGCAAATGCTCAAAAACAGGTCGAACCAATGAACCAGAAAAAAGATAAACATTTGCATTAAGTATGCTTGGAACTTAATATTGATATTAATTTACAGGAAGATGAGTTGTTTGAGTCGCTGTTGCAGTTTCAAGCCATTCGGATGGATGATCAGAGGTGTGACATGCCTCTGTCACCCAATCAGGTGACTGCATATGATCACATGATCAATGACATCATAAATGTTGTTGTTTTCCTTTTATCCTTCAATTGTCCACAGTTGGTATAAAATCTCAGTAATCTAACATTCAGGTGACATTTTGAGACATCAAAGCTTTTTGACATCTTTGTAAATGTATGAAAGTAATTGAGAAATTATGTCAATTATGAATTCTTTTAAAAAATGGTTTAATTTAAGAATTGCTGTTGATGTCATCCGCGTTTTGATGTCACATATCATATCATATCTGTTGGAAAAGCTGATATAATAATGCATGTACTCTAGTTGCTGGTGATGTCACACATGCTTTGAAGAAACTGTTTAATTTTAGAATTGCTGTTGATGTCATCCGCGTTTTGATGTCATATATCGTTCATATCATATCTGTATTAAAAGCTGATATAATAATGCATGTACTCTAGTTGCTGATGATGTCATACATGCTTTGAAGAAACTGTTTAATTTTAGAATTGCTGTTGATGTCATCCGCGTTTTGATGTCATATATCATTCATATCATATCTGTATTAATGATATAATAATGCATGTACTCTAGTTTTTTTTTTTTTTTTTTTTTTTTTTTTTTTATTTATTTTTTATTCACATTTAGTAATCACTTACAATTACATATAGTATGCATTTCATTACATTTACTTCATATATACCCATATATACCTCAATGCAGATTCATTTTAAATGATTGATTTTTTATTTTTTGATTTAATATTATTGCTATTAATCTCCTTTTATTATTATTATCTTTTTATTAGAAGCATACCACATATAATCTTTATATTCTCATTCATCCATGTATCCATCCATTCATTCATTCATTCATTCACTCACCCAATCCATCATTCACTCACCCACTCATTTTCATTCATTTACTCATTTATTCAACGTCATTCATCTGGGTTGCATTTAAATTATCTCACCACAAAAATACTAATTTAAAACATTTTATTATAAAAGTTAGACCAAACTTCATTTTTATTCACATTTTTAGTTTCTACATATAATTTGAAGTGCTCAATAAACTGATAATATGATGGCTCTAAGTTTTCAAGAAAACTGGTATATAAAGTATGTTTCATTATTAATATAGCTGCATTAAAAATGATATAACCATCATCCTTTGGTTTATGTCCGTACAAAATGTCATTCTCTGTTATTTTTATCTTATATCCAGCTTTTTCCATATATGTACTAAATCTAGTCCATATTTCATTATTTTTCTCACATTCCAACAGCATGTGTTTGATCGTATGTCTCATATTACAATTTGGGCATTTGTTCGATTCTTTTATGTTCATCTTTTGTAATTTCTCATTACATATTAAGATATTATGTAACACTTTATATTGAAAAATCCATAATCTTGTTTCATCGACTACTTTTCTTGGAAGTAAAAATATATCCTTAATTTGTTCCTCATTAAAAGTTTCCTCTAATTTTGTTATTCCTGCATTTTTTTCAAATTCTCTTTTGTTTAATATTTTGTGTGCTTCTTTACTATTTAAATTTATTGATCTTTTTGCTTTGTTTATGATTTCATTATTATTGTTGTCTGCATTAAATTGATTCAGTTTCCTTTTCCATGTTCTTGGAATGGCCGATATAATAGAATTAAAGTCCATTACTTTAGGTATAAAATTATATTTTTCTGATAACCTCTCTATAGTGTAAAAATGTCCCTCGCTGTCTAGCAAATTCTTTAATTTGTTAATTCCATTAATGTTCCATGATTTAATGTAGAGTGATTTATTTTCTATGACTATGTTTTTGTTGTTCCAAATTATTTCCTCTTTGATCTCAGCTATGTTTATTTCCTCTGGTGTGTTGTATATTTCATTAAAATAATCTAACATTTCTTTATAAAATACAGGCAATCCATCAAGATTTAATTTATTTGTCTCATAATTACTTTTGAAAATTAACTTTCCACCTGACTTATTGAGTATTTTCATGGGAATGGTTTTCCAATTTGCTTCTTCATCTGACCCTAATCTTTTGATCCATGCTATTCTTAGTGATTTTATCATTGTTTTAAATTGAACCATCCTTAATCCCCCTTGTTCTAATGCACCGATTATTGTTTTTCTTTTGATTTTTGCTGGCTTACCTTGCCAAATAAAATTAAATAAAATATTGTCTATCATGTCAATATATTTTTGTTCAATCCTGTCAATTGAAGCAATATATGTTAATTGTGAAATCCCTAATTGTTTTGCTATTTGGATTCTTCCTTGTAGGGTTAGCAATCTGCTGTTCCAAATGTTAAGCTTTGTTTTCATTTTTTCAATCTTTTGTTTGATATTTATTTCATCTGTTATTGTTTTATCATAAGAGAAACAATATCCCAAAGATGTTGCTTGTTTAGTACTTTCAATTTGTTCCACATTTTCTTCACAGTTTCTATTTGAACCTATCCATAGAATTTCTGATTTTGATTTATTAAGTTTTAAACCTGAATATTTTTCAAATGATTCCATTACTTTAATTACTTCTTTTGCTGATTCTTTATTTTCTAGTAGCAATGTCATGTCATCTGCATATTGAGTTAATTTTACTTCACCTAAACTTTTGTCAACTTGAATTCCTTTTATTTTGTAATTGCTTCGAATGGCATGTCCTATTATTTCCATAACTAGTATAAAAAATATTCCAGACATTGGGTCTCCTTGTCGTACCCCTCGTGTAGGTTTGAAAAACTCGCTCGCTTCACCATTATTTAAAATACAGCTTTCACAATTTTTATACAAAGTTTCAAAAAATTTCAAAAATTGGTCTCCAAAATTAAATATTTTTAATGTCCTTTTGATAAATGACCATTCTAAACTGTCGTAGGCTTTGCGAAAATCTAAAAACATGCATAGTCCAGGTTTCTTGTTTTCAAAGGTCCAATCCATTATGTCTTTTATCAGTCTCACGTTGCTTCCCATATATCTATCTTTGACATAACCTGTTTGATCAGAATTCACAATTTTTGGTAGGATGTCCCTCAATCTGTTAGCCATAATCTTTGTAAGTATTTTATAATCACCATTTAAGAGTGTTAAAGGTCTCCAATTTTCCAATTTCGATCTATCTTTCTTTCCTTTAGGTATTAATGTGATAATTCCCCTCTTTTGTGTCACTGATAATTCCCCCTGTTCTAGAGCTTTGTTTAAACACGAAATTAACCCTTCTTTGATATCATTCCAGAACACTAGATAAAATTCATTAGAAAGGCCATCCATACCAGGTGTCTTATTTTTCTTTAGTAATTTAACTACCTTGAAGCATTCCTCTTCTCCTATTAACTTTTCACATTCTAGTTTATCTTTATCATTTAATTTAGGTATGTTTACGTTTTCAAAAAATGGACATTCATTTAAGTTTTCCTCTGTTGTTTCTTTAGAGCTATATAAGTCTTTGTAGAATTTAACTTCTTCTTTTAATATATCCTTTGAGTTTACTACTTCAGCACCTCCATCTTTCACAATTTTACTTAAAACTTTATTTTGATTATTATGTTTTTCTAGATTGAAAAAATATCTTGTAGATTTCTCTCCTTCTTCATTCCACTGTGCTCTACTTCTTATGATTTGACCTTTAATTTTATGTTTTTGGATAATTTCTATCTTCAATTTAATTCTTCTCATTTTTTCAATGTTTTCTTTGGTTGGGTTTGTATCTATCAGTTTTTGTGTTTCATCTGCTTCTCTCAGCGTTTCCTTTTCTTCATTTCGTCTTTCTTTCGCTTTTTGTTTTGAATATTTAATGCACTTTTCTCTTATTTTCATTTTTGTGAAATCCCATTTTACTCTACAATCTTCTATTTCCTTACACCCCTCTTTTGCTTCTGTTATAGCTTCATGTATTTGAGTAATAAATTCCTTTTCATTTAGGAGAGTATTGTTTATTTTCCAAAA